TTCCTGGAACAATGCAGCTGATGAGAGTCTCTCCAAAGAAAATAAGGCTCTGACATCATGGGTTCTTAAAGCACACAGCTGAGCCAACACTCTCCTACTATAATCAAGTCTCAGTGAATTTCCACTGTCGGCTAAAACCGAGAAAGAGGGAGAATCTCCAAATCCCAAAGCTTAGCTGCATTTTTTTTTCAAACACACTTTAATCTAGCTGCTAATGTACTGGTAGCACTTGCTGGACGTCTTTCCTCTGCTTCACATCTGGACGATAAAATGCAACACAGGGCTGCTTAAAAGTTGGTCACAATCAATGCATTACTTTCATGGCATCTGGGCAGGAGAATTTACTAGGATTCTTTGGGATTAGAGTAATAAGATGCTGATCTGACAAAAGCAAAAGTAAAATCTCAGCAGAGTTAAAAGAAATGAATGGTAGAAGACAGATGAGGCTTTACAAGGTGCCTTTTTTCTCTCCCTTTGAAACAACCCGAATAAGTAGTAAAATTGGTGAGTGTAGTAAAACAGACCACAAGGTCATTCAAAAGACAATTGTGTGCTTAAGATGAGGAGTTGAAGAGTGTGGGGAGATTGTGTTTCAGAGTTCAGTCCAAAGTACGTGTCCTTAGATGCACTGGATCTCAGAGTGCACAGATCAATGAGGGAGGAAAGTGGTTTTTCCAGTCCTGGTATCTGAGGTTACTCAAGTATTCTCGTTTCACGATGCAACACTAAATAAGAGCATATAAAGGAATAAACTAATCTTTAAGTATTAGTTTACTGTAAATGTTCAGCCTTAATATTTCCTGCTGCACACAATCTCGCATGCCTGTTGGGAACTGGATCGTTAGGGTGAGATAATTGATTCTGTATCTGTCTCAAAGAAGGATGTAATAACATCCAGGATGGCCTCCATGACCCAGAGCTGGCTGAGCTCCCTCCTCTGCTCCATGTTTTGATCTCTGCCGCCTGCTGGGCGACTGCCAGAGAGCCAATTTATCAAGGTCTTATCCCTGCTCCATATATGCATCCGTTTGGAAAGTGCTGACCGGGAGTGAGCTGGAGCTCGGCCCTGTCACTGCGAGCATCCTCCAAGGAGCTGAACATGCAGCTCTTGCCTTAAGGAGAACCACACCCCGCTCTGTTTTCCTTGGCGGACCCCTCTGCCTCTGAGGAAGTATCACATTGTCTTTTGCTACGACTGGCGCGGTCAGCTTCAGAGTGCACACAGCTTGACTTTTGGCTTTATCTACAGCCAAAATATCTTAAAGGATTTAAGAAGGACAAACACCAACTATGTAATTATCTGCCGTTCATGCGTCTGAGTCAACAGGGTTCCTCATGAAATCTGTGAAGTTATGCAAGAGAGAGAATAATGTCTTCACAGCGTTGTGTTTCCACCAGCAGTCTGTGGCCGTAAAGTACCTGGCATAAGCGTTTGCACCCCTTCAATTTCTCTGAATTTTGTCATTTTGAAACTATAAAATGAAATTAAAAGTAGTGAATGACCAACTCAGAGTGACGCTTAAGCTAAATTAAGAACAACTTAGAACCTATTTACAAATACAAGTCTGAACTGGGCATCATGCGTTGGTCTTCAGACCCTTTGCTCTGATACCCCTAAATAAAAGTAATTGCAAGCTCTTGTTTGGGTTTATTGCCATTATTAATCCAGTACAACTTGCCTTAGTGATTGAACATGGTTGGCTTGCTCGACTCCTGAGGTTGCGAGCAGGTATCTTGAGGCCAGGTGTGCTGATGCCCAGGCGGATGCAGAGGCAAAAACTCGGGCCTTGGAGGAGTTTGGAGAAGCCATGGAGGAAGACTGGCTTCAAAATGAATGCGGCAAGTTTAATGGTGTTGAAAGAACAGTGCGTTCACACTGGAAAGACTATGTCTCTCGGCTGGCCTGGGAGCGACTCGGGCTTCCCCCAGCAGAGCTGGAGGAGGTGTTTGTGGAGAGGGAGACCTACTGAGAATGCTGCCCCCAGGACCTCATCCCACACGGAGCCGGAGACGACGATTACGAACTTGCCTTAGTTTATATATTCTTCATATATTCTGTTCTATTTCTTTATGTGTGCTGCATATGAAAAAGTAAATATCTCGTACGTGTAAAATAGTACTCGGCAATAAAGCCTTTTATTGATTGGGTCATTCCGAGTTAGTGACGCGTCCACTCCACATATCGGATCTGGGAAGACTGGCAGGATAGAAGCGGTGAGGGCAGCATAGTATTATTGTAAAGCTTTTTTTCTTTTGGCAGAAATCTGTTTGATTGGAAGGAGGAAGGGGATTCTAAAAGAAACTTTTTGAAAATTAAAGTAGATATAAGAATAAAGTTGACGTTACCCTTTTACCAGGATTAGGCATGCAGGCAGATCAAAGCTTCTGGGTTAGAATGGCCCAGTTAAAATCCAGACCTAATTCCCATTCACATCTTAGGCAAGAATTTAAATTTAGCATCTACAATTGCTTGCTATTCGACATGACTGGGGCTGTATTGTTTTGCAATCAAAGGGCTAAACGTTCAGTCTCTAATAAACATGAAGATTTTCTTTTCAACAATATGTGCTGCTATGCTGATATTAAATAAGATCATCAAAAAACTCCTGCAGGTTGTGGTTGTAATTAAGGGCTATTAATGATATAGTGCGGCATATAGTGTGTGGATGATGAATAAAAGTAGTCTCCAGACATTTCTGTGATGTTGACAAGTGGTTTATTCAGCAGGAATGGTGAACAGTTTGTCAGTATTTTCTTTCCTTACAGAAGGCAATCAAGCACCATAAATAACAGGGCTGTAATCAAACAGGTTCTTGGACAGTGAGCTTCAGGAAAATACATCTAACACTTCAGGGAGTCATGAATGTTTGCATACTTCCTCCCACGCTTGAGTCTTTTCTGATTATTTCACACCACTGACAGCTTGACATGTTTGAGTGATTCATAAAAGCAGATGATTTGAAGTCGTTTCTGTGGTTTGCTTCTTAAAATATGCCGTATACACCAAGGGATTTCTGTCTTTCTAAAACACAAGCCATAATTCAGACACCTAAACGTTGTGTTAAACTGTATTGTAGTGGAGACAACAATGGAATCATGCTATATTTATATTTTAATGGGCTACAACTGATCTAAAAAGTCTTTGGTATGCACTGTATACCTAAACTTCTAGTAGGAACATATTTTCTTCAACTAGTTTTTACTTCAGCTTAATTATCAGGGCAAAAATATGTATAAAAAAACCACTAAAAACCATTGCAAAAAATTCATACACTTCATCTTATTTTTTAAGTTAAAGAGCAAGGCCTATTCCATCAACGGGATGCATGCAAATGTTGTAGAAATGTGGCTTTAGAGTGTAATCCTGCTCCTGAACTTCAAAAATGAAGTCAGATTTTTCTCAATATATATTTTTAAAAATTTTCTTTAGAAGTGGGACCATGCAACTTTTTAAAATTAAAAAAATGTGTGATTGATTTATGTAAAAACTCAGAGGGTGCAATTAAAGAAAAACATTTAAATTTTATTGTAGTACCGCCAAAGTCTGAACATTTGTTTCCTAGAAGTTGAAAAACTCGCCTTAAAAAATAAAATCCAAGATGGCCACCTATCACATATCACTTTTGCTGCACAACTGCAGTACTTATACTCTTCTGAATTATGTTTAGTTAAATATGCATTGTCTATTATACAGTATCCATTACCAAAAATGTTGCCAAAGGGTTTGAACATATAAAATATGGTCTAATACAGAGTTTTCAGCTTTTTAGCTACTGGCTAATAGTTACAACAATCATCGGATTCTAGTTTTACCATCAATTGGAAAATTGAAACGTGCCTTTTTATTCACAGATACATTTTGACATTAAAAGCATATAAAATTAGTAATTTCCCACTACGTATAGTAGTGTATAGTAATATTTCCCGACCTTACATAAACTAATTTCCAATCTTAAATATGATCATGGAAAATATAAAAAGAAAAGAATGCCTTTCATGAAATGGAAGACATTTGAAAGGGCAATGATTATAATTAATTTACTTTCTGTCACCAGTAGGAGATGTTAAGCAAAAGTTGCATAATCCCACTTTGATTTCCCTCATATTTGACACTTTGGCTTCCAGGGAGGCATTTGCAGGCAACACGCACTCTGGACAGACAAAAGCACACCACGACTTTTAACAATCTTGACACAATTAGAAGAATCACAGTTTACAGTATTTCTATCAAGACATTTGGCATAAGGGATTTATATTGAGAAAATAATTTAAGAATAGTAGAAAAAATAGCATTATGCCTTCCTGGGGTCACAACATTGTATACTCATTCTCTTTTTTTTTTTATTCTCCATGCATTCACAGAGTTCACACGGAAACATTTACTTGCTTTCACTTAAGAATCTGCTTACAAATAAAATCACCATCAACATGGTGGCCACAAGGCTGTGCAAAAGGGAAGACCTCCAATGTAAGCCCTGCCATCCATCTGTCTTTTCCATCTCTTTGCAAGTAAACTATAAAATAGCACCATTATACAGTGGATAGGATTTTTTAATACAGTTTTGTTATATGAAACCATCATGTACAATGAGTGATAGTAATGCATAGATTAACATAATGGGAGTACAGTTTGATTATACACAGAGAGAGGAAGCAGAGCCAGATATGAGACATGTTTGGGGCAAAATCAGGGAGGCACAAACGAAAAATCAGTGTCCAGTCCATTCATGCAAGGACTTCTCAGAAATTGCTTGTTTGTGAAATTTGTGAATGTTATCATGACCCTTAGTTATATTTGATGATTTTATTTTCATATATTTGCCATCGCTACTGCATGTGTAAGTGTGGGTCTGCATTTGCCAATCAGACGTTTGCTGGTAATATTTACCAGTTTATTCTGCATGACTTTAAAGTGGACTTTGTAACGGATGTTGTGTTGTTTGGTTGTACTCTTGTCACTGCGTTGAAATAAAGAATCAAACCCAAAACTAGAATTCATTGAATAATAAGAGTTCAGGTAATGATAATCGACTGAACAAACGTTTCTGTGCCTGAAATGAATCAATATCTCCACAAAAAATGTCAACATTTTGTTATGTAAGAAAAAAAAATATCTCTGCGGTTATTCTAATAGGAATTTAAGTAATAAAAAATAACACGTAACAGCTCAAAATTGAGAAGTGGGTAAAAAAAAAAATATATATTTTAAAATTATGGTTTGTATGAGTGATCAGTCCCTTCTGGCCTGATTCCTCTAAATAAAATGTTCCCACAAATACTGACCAGAATGGAAATGCTCCAGGAGGAGCTGCAGAGATTCACAGCTAAACCACACATATTTCCCTTTTATTTTATTTTTTAAATGTATGATGAACATCATTGAAAGAACCCCTCCAAAAGTTTTGTTTATGTTTGTCAGAAGCCAAACAAGAAATTAAGCAAACAGGTTGAGGACGATGAAATGATAAGAGACTGAATTTGAACTTTTTTGCTCGATGTGGAAGAAAAATGCTCCCTATTTCTTGGATTCACCATCTCCACCAGGATACATGATGGTAGAAGCCTCGTACTGTTGGATGCTTTTGTTTTGTAGGGTCAGGGAACCGGGAACAAGAATATAGCTAAAAGCAGAGCAAAGAATAAAGCTGGAGCTAGTTTGAAATGGTTGGATCAACTAGAAGGGCTTTATTACAGCCCTAAGGTATTAAAAAGGAGAAAATCCACAAGGATTTTCCATCCAATTTTGGATAAACCTGTTTTGCAACGAAGAATGAAGGATGGTTTTATCCTGTAGACATGCAAACCTGTTGGAGACATAAACCTAAAGATTTTTTAAAGTAGTGAAGGACTCATCACAATGCACACTAAAACTTTTTATGTAAAAATGTTGAACAGGAATCTTCTTCTAATGCACAATCATGAGCTATTTGGTGCCGATCTATAACATAAACTCCTCATAATTTAGAAAATTCTATTGTTAACTTCACTTTTTTGTTTTCATCTTTGCTCATTTAAAAACAATTCCTTAAATAACCCTTTAGAAATGCATGTTAAAAAAAAAAACGGACTGAAAATTCCTGATTAGTAAGAAGTAAATGTTTTGCAATCTCTCAAAGGTTGTGACCAGCGAAAAGCACACAGACGACAAACATATTGTCTGGTGGTCACTGTTTGATTAATCTGCTCATTTATGCCAGATGAACTTTGAATCCACTGACCTATTTCTTAAAAAAAACCAAACAAGGGAGCTGACAAGTAAAATCAAATCTCTGTGCTTTAGAAATCAGAAAAAAACTAAAGCTCTTTATTTTATTTTTTTTGAATGAAACCTACAAATTACCTAAAGCGTGCGTATTATGGATCCAGTCCTGAAAACTTAGTGGGGCTTAAAAAGGAAATGGATTGCTCTCAAACCCCCTAGCCACTCCACATAACAGGGATTTAAGTCAGCCTCAGGGTGAAATTACCAACAGCATTGTTTAAATGTATAACAATAAACCACATGGTCCTGGTCTTTAAGATGATCAACATATCCACAGTAAATTTATAGTGCATTAAAACAAACTCTGAATTTCAACAGGGATATTAAACTGTTATGTGACTGTGAAGAGTGAAATGGATGTGACCACTCATTCCTGTCTGGGTGATGTTCCCACCCTTTCTGGAGCCAAAGGAAAGAGGGCTATTGCAGCTTAAATATGAAGGGAATTGCAAGCTCGTACTGTGTCTTAGCAGCTAAACTAGTCTTTTACAATGAGTTAAAGAATTCCTCCTCATAAGGAATGAGGTGATCACAAGTACCCTCATCCAGCCTTTAAACACAACTTCTTTTTTTTTTTTTTTTTAAGCTTTTCTGCCATTTTTAGCATCCTTTCGTTTTGTTTTACAGTGAACCAGTGAACCGTTCCAAAGGGGTACCAGGTAAGGCCACTCCCTTCTCTCTTTCGCTTCCTGCTTCCCTACATTCGGTAAGTTTTGCCCCCGGAGCTGCCTCGACTTGAGTTTTTTGGATGGACCTCCTGCAAGATGAAAAGAAACATCTTAGACGTCACTGCAAAGGACAGCTGTCTCCATGGTTACAACAATTTAAGACTTAGGAAGCTATTAAAATGGCGACTGAGTTAGCAAGTTAAATGTTATCAGTCAGGACAGAGCAATTAAAAAAAAGACTTAAATATGTTTGTTTGAAAGATTAATTCAATCAGGAACTCGTTAATAAACCAAAGTAAAGAAGTGTTGTTTATGTGGATCTCTGTCCAATGGATAAAAGTTGGCCTACAGTGAATGAGGTCATTAACAAAACAAGGATTCTAGTGGCAGCAGTTAATTTAAAACCACAATAAAATATACAAGGATCAAAGGGAAGCGATCCCGCTATGACAAAACTAAAAAAAGAAATAACAGAAACAGAGCAATCCATGTAAATCCATGTATGGTTTGTTCTTTGGTTTTTTCGTTTCAAAAAAAAAAAAAAAAAAAAAAACAAGCATGTGCTTTTTCTGTTTTTCCATTTTTAAAACCTAAATCGAAAAAATGAAAAATCAAATTAATAGAAAATCAACAGCATTTGAGTTTTGTTTTGCCATCTAAATGAAAATAAAATACGGTTGTCGTTTTAATATGTAGCGGTACCGGAAATTAAGTAAGTCGCCAAAGAAAAATCATTTACAGTGGATGAAGACGGCATCAAAACCATTTCTAAACAAAAGGCAATGGCTGCACTTGAACTGTTTTCTGCTTTGATTATCAAACTTTTTGAGAGCGAAAAAACTCATGCTACGTTCAGACCGGACGCTGCAAAAGCAGCAAAATCGCGTCTGCTGCTTCCTTTTTGCTGCTTGTACCAGTGAGTTCTGACGCGCGGCTGAAGCAGCTTTGCTGCTCTGGCTGCACGGTGCAAAGGTGGCTCTGACGCGCGTTGGGCGGAGCTTCACTATCCTTTCTCTGCCTTACAGCTATATTTGCTGTGATCAGTGGGAATAAAGTAGTTTTAATATGTTTTTAAGTGAGAAAATACACCTGAAAACTTAATCAGTGCAGTCAGTTCATCCAGATTACAATCCTGTCTCCCAATGTTATTTCTGTCGGAGCCGCTCAGACCCCCACATACCGACGGTGCGCCGACAGAAAGAATCCCTTCAACAGTAGCCTCTGGACGGGTCGCCTCCTCGCGGTTTACCGCGTCGGCTGGTAGGTGTTTTTCATCTAAATAATCCGATCTGCAGGCACCAGAATAATAAAAGCCAACATATTCTGCCGGCAGATGTATATATTTTAAGTTAATTATGCGTTAATAAACTGTTGAAGAGGAGTAATCAGAGCGGTCTGTGTCATCAGCGCTGTGTCTCTCTCCCAGCCAGCTCCCAGATCAGCTTCTCTGATTGGTTGACGCGGTGCGTCGAGCAGCAAAAATTAAATTTTTCCATCTCGAGCAGCAACGTGTTTGCGGCGCGTCACGCGCGTCAGATGCCAAAACGCGCCCGACGCGCTGCTTCAGCTGCTCAGACGCGCTGCGTCTGCTGCTCAAAACGCGCCGCAGGACCTTTTGCTGCGCCTTGACGCGCGTCAACCATTGACTTTGCATGTAAACTCGCTGCTTCTGTCGCGCCAGCTGCCCCCGGTGTGAACGCAGCAACACTCTGAAATCAGTGATGCTTTGAGCCGCCATGGAGCTCCACATTACTCGGTAATGAGTGTCAGAAGGTTTTGTATGGAGCACAACTTGCGAAGACACAACAATGTGTCGGACGCCGATTTGGAACGTGCAATCATTAGCGCTCAATGAAATGCGCCGATTCCCTCTAAATAACACATACGTTTCCATTTTGGTAGTGCTAACTAAAAAAGTTCTTCTTCTTGTGGATTGTAATGGCGGTTGGCAAGAAATTGAAGGCGTACATCACTGCCACCTACTGGTAACTAAAAAGTTATCTGTTGGGAGTTCAGGTCTTCATTTCCGGTTCTGCCATAAGGTCCGTTGAATTAACAACAAAATAATTTTGTCTTTGGTTTAATCATTGCAGTAAAAAAAAAAAAAATCCCAAAACTTACCCTTTTTTCATTTTTGCAAATGCCGTTTTTCTAATTTAGTTTTAAAAACGGAAAAACAAAAAAACACATTTTTGTTTAGTTTTTTCGTTTTTGTTTTGAAACAAAAAAACCAAAGAACGAACCATACAAGGATTCAGCACCCATTTCCTTTTTTAATTTTAAGCCAAGCTTTGTTTTTTGTTGAAAAAAACAGATTATACGTTGATTTTTCCATTTTCTTGTTTTTTGTTACAAAAAGCCAAAAACATTTTTGGTTTTAAACAAAAAAGAAAAGATATTTTTTTTTTTTTTCTTTTCATTTTTGGTTTTGTCAGAAAAACAGATTGTACTTTGATACCCAGACCAGAGGCTACTTCATAGTTAAATTCCAGATCTTATATGAAATAATGTGTCTTCGATATCCAACATTATAAAGAAAATATAATTTTACTAATATTTACATATAGATATTTCATGGTCAAATGATGCTTATGTTCACCTGGGTTATTAACTCCAGTTATATCTATGAGTTTAATGTTACACCTAATTGGTTTAATTGATTTATTGGAGAGGTATACATGTGAGGGAATGCATCCATACCTTAAAGGATGAGTGACTATGTCCGGATGAAGGTCTCTGTAAGGAAAAACAGACATTTTAGTTGGATGTACTTGAAAGAGACCTCAAATTAGCAAACGTACATTCATTGATCTGAACCATGGCTTTAGTGTATAAGTGGATGCGGCACAAACCTTCTTGTTTTTTGTCTTGTCTGGCTGCGGTGCCGTCCTGCGCTCTGTGCCCTTGTCCACTTTATGTCCCGGGTTACTGACCTTGGCAGTTCTCGGCACATCTATGTGGCGCTGTGCACGTACAGAACGAGACTGCTTGCTGGTTTTTGCAGGTGCGCAGTACATCTCCAGGCGCCGCAGCTCACAGCTCTGGAAGCAGCACTCATCCACGATGCCGTGCGACCGCCTTGCACTGGGACCATAGCCTGTTGGCTTATCTGTATAGCGGACAGAAGGATGTAGTCACATATAGAGAAAACTTTAAACCACTGCTGCTTTACAAAGTAACCACACCATCAACAAAGAATGTTTTCAGTGTTCAACAATAGACATCGCTTCAACTGCAGTTTGAGGGAATGAGGCTTAAAAAGTGACATTAAAGGATGATCTTTTAATTCCGGGTGGATCATCTAAATAAGTGGCCCTCCTAATTGCCAATCATTCTGGTGATATGTTTACATAAAAAGTCCTACGTGCCTGTCCCCAGTTAGCCATGTTTTTCTGCGCATATTCACTTTCAGCAGCATATGTGTGGTGAGCTATGGTTTATTACAATCATTGAAGGTCTCCTTTCTCACCGTGGTTCTTGGGTCAAAAAAAATTGGCGCAGGCACCGCGCAGTGGAGGAGGAGTTAAGTGACTAACGGAGCAAAAAACAGTGATCATCTGTCCGAACTGTCAGTTAACTGACTTCACTACAAAATCCACTGTATAATCCTATATAGTGATTGGGGGATTTAACGGTTAGGGCGGACATTTGGACACAGTAAGCTTGTATAAGAACAGCAACTTTTAAACAGAGCGTGCACGAGGAGAAATGGGCTCGTGCACGCTCTCGCATACGGTTAATAGGCGTTCCCTATCAGAAGCAGGTACAGGGTAGTGCATGTGCATTTTTTATTTAAAATGGAGAGGGTGGGTCTTTTAAAAAATTTGCAAAAATCCTCCACAAGACCTTTAAGTGGATTCATTGCAAATATGTATGCAAAACTACACAAAACTGAAAGTATTTTTATGTAATGGTCTAGCTAGAGAGTGAAAAAAATTGTCAAGATGGCTTTCAATGGAAATAAAAAACTCTATGAAAGCAAAATTTAATTTCAAGGTAAAAATTAAAGAGCCAAAAATTGTGTATAGTTGACAGATTTTAAACTGAAATTATCTGAGATGTTGGTTTGAGCTTTTTGGAGCTTTTAGGATATCATTTAAAGTAATCCACACTAGGAGTTTGCAATCTGAGGGTATTTTTATGATATTATTGTCGTAAAGAAACATGTTGCTGTTATGTTTTTGTTAAAACAGCTAGAAAGTTCAAGCCCCATTTCCAAATTTTTCCAAAAATGCTTGTGACAACATTTTATGTCAAACGTTTCCCTAAATTTGTTCTTGATTCAAAAGTTACCCAATTTAATTTATTCTAATATAAAAATATCTTCATATAAATCTATTTACACACACAAAAAAAGAACATGGCCAGTTTGGATGGACGTATTAATAAAATGCAATAGCTGTGCAGACTTTGCAAAGATTCAGTCCAGCTCGTATAAATCAGATTCTGCTTTTTCTCCTTCATTGCTCTGGCAGGTTTCCAAACTCTATGTTTTTAGTAAAGCAGCGATAATAGCCAGGTCACAAGTTTAATATTCCTGATATATGAACCAACCTAATGACGTTCAATTTCTGCAAGTGAAATTTACAGCGCTGAACACTACACACTGTGGACCAAATTTGGCCGTAACATGTTGGAGAATGTCGTATTCAGCCATTTTTGGCTCTGTTAAATTTTTTTCTCTTTAGCCCCCAGAGGCCGATCCACCTGCAGAAACATCGAGGACTTTCTGTTCATTCATATATTCATTTGGAAAAAGTGCCCTTCAGAGTCATTCACGTGCATAACTAAGAGAAAAGGGCTATGCAAACGTTTTTAGCTCAAATTTATAAGTTTTTTTTTTGTATAACTATATGAGCCTTGCAGGGACACCAAAGCTTGTTCCCTCTTCTTACTCTAAGATAATGCTCTTCATTGGAAAAATTCAGGATCCATTTAGAATTCCCAGCTCCTTTGGTAAGAAGGAAAAGTCTGGGAGGAGATGGGCTTTTCCCTGTGACCAAATGAAATAATAATAATTTAATATGGCATTTACAAGGAGGAAATGCCTCTCTCTCTCAGAGTTAATAGCTCTTGGCTCTGAAGCCTGCCAGCGCTGACAAAGTGCATTAACTCCTGCTCTGTGTTCGCCTTGTTCTGACAATGTTGCTTGGACAGAGGGCAGCTTTCATTCAGAAACAGAAGCATCTTTCTCTTCTGAACTGAGAAGATAATGGAGGCATGAATGAGATGAAGAAGAAAAGTTTTTATGGATGAATTATGACAACATGTACTCAGTGCAACTGAATTATTAATGAAGCAAGAAATCCAAGATATCTAGAAACATAAAATGTGAAAAGAAACACCTCATTTGATTGACGGTATCCTTATCCTTTCGTTATTCAATGCTTCTCTAGGAATATCTTCCAGTTATTGGAGCAAACACATGTTATGTATTGGAAGCAACTTTTGCAGGTAACGACTGATGTCACTGCATTAAGATGGAGAGAAAAACTCCAGTCCACACTGGTGGTTACATAAAGACTGACTATTTTGAGCCAAAAGCAGGGATCTGTGTTCATTTGTCTGGCCTGATTTTCAACCCTCCTCCTAAAAACAGGAAAATAGTTTTTGAAAATTAACACCTTATGTTATTCCAAGAATAGTTTGCCACCCTGCTCAGAAAAGCAGCTGGAAGGGAAAGAGGAATCAGCAAGTTCTAATTTAAGGTAGCGGGACAAAAATGCATGAAGTATTAATTTCTAGAAGGTTTTAACATGATCGATGATTATATTAGTCCCTCATAAACACTGACACACTTTTATGACTGTTCTCAAAAAAACGAAGTTTTTTGCATTGTTTTTACGTCTTCCCTCAGCCAGGTCTAAGCTTGGTTTATCCTCTGCTGATGTTCCAGAACTCCAGTATTTTTACTGAGTCAGTTTGTGTTTTGGTATTTGACAGGGTCAGCATGCATGGTTCAATGACTGCACAGAAAGTTAATTTTTACAGCCTTTATGCTTAATAAAAATGGAATCTTTGAGCTAATGCCCGGCTTTAAACACAAGGTGGCCAAATGATGAAAGCTGCTCAAACTGAGTCAAATGCTACAGATATGGGTGAATATAATACTTTGTAAATGCATCTTAAATGTGGGCATTGCATAAATGTTATGAAACATTAAAGTAATGAGAGCCTTAGGGTTATCACTTAACCTTGCATAGCAAGCTGGATTTCGGCGAGATCTGAGTTTTTAGTCTCACAACAAATCATTGTTGAAAGACTCCCTCCAATATGTCCGTCTCGTAACAACCAGCGAGTCGGACCAATGAGATGAAAGCAGTGTTTTTTGGGGCTGGACATGTAGGAATGGCGGCAGTCAGAAGGGCCTTGCCGGGCCATTACAAACATGGCTACGCTGGAGGACTCACCTGACAATTCCACCATTGACAAAATATTACAAAATTTGGAAACCCATTTTAGAACAACTGAAGCCATAAAAAACCCTATTTCACCCTCTTTTTTTTGTTCTTCTTTACCCCAGTTGTTATGAATAAAGGTGTGGACACTTCTAATTGACTGGTTGAAACTCCATAAAGTGTGTTTTTTTTTTTTTTTTT